CTGTCCCTTTAAAACAGTTTTTGTAAAATATCTTACATCCGTCATGTTTGCTGGAAAGCCTTCAGGTTTGCTGTCGGAGTCGTGAACACCAGCTACTGGTGAGGCTTCAAGATCAGGTCTCAGGTTCTTCAGGGACTGAATGTCGGCATAGTTACAGGCCGATTCGTCCTGCCTGGGACACAAAGACGTTCAGCTCGTTAAGGCCGGTCACACCTGCAGGACTCAACGCTCCACCACATCCACTCTGATGTCTCTGACTTTGAGATACATTCAGCAATGATTGTTGTCATTTCCTAGCAGATCAAAACATTCTCTCAAAAAATTTCTAATTTCAGATTTTTTGTTGGTCCTGGGGGTATGAGGTAAGAAAACTAATTTTCTTGTCACCTGCTAGGTAATCGCTGAAGGTGTGTTTCCCTCTGAGCTCTCTGCGTGCTTTCTTGGTTCAGCCGCAGCAGCTGCAGGTCACTCCTCTGGTTCTCACACACCTGGAAAACACACACCAGCAGAAAAACCATTGCTGCTGCTGCTTGTTGTGGCGTTCACGGTGAAAAGTGCAACACATTTCTCCAGTCAGAGTTAAACTTCTACACCTCTCCAGGCTCAAATTTGAGTTTTTAATTTATGCTTAGACACTGATGGAACATTCATATAAATATGTTAAATTAAATGTTAGGTGTTTCTTAAAGTATAAAATTTGCACCTGGCAGACTAACAGGTAGATGGATTGTTTTCAAAGGGATTCAGAATAAAGTTAAGAACTACAACTCTTGTCCATACTCTATTTTTTCCTACATATTCAGACCTGAAAATGACTCGAATCAAGAATTTGCAAACAAAAATTTCCAAATCAAGAATCAGGAATTTGAGAAAAATCCCCAAAACAATCACAAACTCCTGGAGGGAGTTTGTGATTGTTTAATATATAATATAAAGATGTTTAATATAATTTAATTTTAAGAATTTGTTTATATTTTTAACAGATGGTTAAAGGGTTTTAGAAATGGATTCTGGCACAACAGGCCCTTTAAGAACATTCATGATCTTGATTTGGCCCAAAATGAAATGAGTTAAACACCCCTGATGTAGAGGACAAGACAGGATTTTATCTGTGTTTGTACATTTAACGTCATGCCTGCAGTCGCAGCCTTTATGTGAACCGGAACCACGTTGTGAGAGTGAGAGCGCTGCAGAAATACAGCGAGGCATGCAGACCAACAGGAAAATCACCTCCAGACGGAGCAGGAGGAACAAGGAAAAGACACGAGAGCGCTTCAGTAACGTTTAGCAGCAGCTGCTCTGTTGTACCTGCTGCAGGCAGAGCAGCTCCGACATGATGCGCTCCTGCTTGGAGCGAGACAGCTCCAGCAGCTCGTCCTTCCAGCTCTCACCCTCTCCTGTTAACAGCAAAGATCAGCAGGTTGGACTTTATCTGACAATCGGAGGTTCCTGACACGCCTGCTAGAGATGGAAATCACACACCGATAAGACAGACCTGCTGAGAACTGAAGCGACAGAACAAGAGAGAGGAGTTTTATTTTAGCTCTAAAAAGACTAAACTAGAGCATGCTGAACTTTTTCAACATTACAACTGCAAACCGCAACATATTTTTTGTGGATTTCATGCGATTGCCCAACAAAGAGTAGTGCAGAATTCTGACTTGGAAGAAAAATAATACATGGTTTTCAAAATGTTTGAAAATAAAACAAAGATTTTTAATACAATGTGAAATGGCTGTAAGAATCCAGCTACATGAGGAAGGTAACACATACAAGTACTTAGGATCGTACCCACTCCATCCAAAAAACAAACTCTTTGAGACCATTTTCAGGTAATATATTGATGAATTGAAATCTCTCAGATGAGAAATATTAATCTGCCTCAGCCTGAGGGTTTACAGAGAAAGAAGCTGATCATGTGACGTACCAGTCAGGGCCAGATCCGTGTGGAGCAGCTGCAGCTCCTGCTTCAGACGGATGATCTCCTCTCTCTGCCTGCTGCTCTGACTCACCTGCTGCTGCAGCTCCGCTACAAACACAGCGACACGCAGATTAAACACTAACGTCTCAGTCAAGAAAATACTGAGATTCAACTGATC